ATCTGTAGCCATGGCGGCGAGTGTGGCACACTCTCTATGAGCCTGTATGGCGTCACGTAGAACGTAAACTTATTACGAGCTGGCAGCTGACCAATAGTCCCTCGTATACAACCTAATCTGCCAGTACGAAACCCTCGTTAATGAATAATGGAAACACGTGTATACTTAAGGGCTCGCGTTTTCGTGTTTTGACACAATATCAACGAGATCTTACAGCCAAAGATGCCTAGGAAATTATAGGGGAAGTTATTAGACCGAATCGTAATGTAAAATTGAAGAAAGAAAAGTGGGTGAAAAGATAACTTGCCCTGGGCATGAACCGAACGTGCGAACTTCGAATAACGCTACAGAAGGCACACAGATGGCAGCAGATGGCTACAGAATCGAACGCATACATAGCATCGAAAGGCCACTTTTCTTTCACCCACTTTTCTTCCTGCACATTTACATAACAATTGGGTCTGATAACTTCCCCTATACATTTCTTGGCATTATGGTCTGCAAGATCTCAATAATATTGTGCCAAAACACGAAAGAACGAGCCCTGGGGTATAAATTTCTTTCCCATATATATATATATATATATATATATATATATATATATATATATATATATATATATATATGTATATATATAGCATTTACACCTCAATGTTGAGTATGCGCGCTAAGACGGTAAATACCTGACCGTCACAGCACTTCAGAAAAAAAGAAATATATATATATATATATATATATATATATATATATAAGGGAAAGAAGTGTATACCTAAGGGCTCGTTTTCCGTGTTTTTAACACAATAATAATGAGATATAACAGACAGTAATGCCAAGGAATGTACAGGGGAAGTTATTAACATTAATGGAATGTAAATAAGAAGAAAGAAAAGTGGATGAAAAAATTACCAACTGTAAGCAGGAATCGAACCTACGACCTTCGAATTACGCGTTCGATGCTCTAACCACTGAGCTATTACAGCGGCACTCCCTCCATCCACTTTTTTGGGTTTATCTGTGAATTTTAGAAGTAGGAGCGACAGTCAGCGCCATCTATAAGATATATATATATATATATATATATATATATATATATATATATATATATATATATATATATATATATATATATATATAAATATATATATATATATCGTCTGACGAGTGCGGTAAATTGTTTGCCCCCCCCCACCCCCACCCCCTATCGCGAAAGAGTTGGTAGGCCACTGCAGACAGACAGATGAACGGACGGAAAGATTGACGTGCGGATGGACGGAAGCATGGACGGACGCATGGACAAATGCACAGACGGTCGCGCGAACAGACTGATGGACAGGAAGACAGACAGACAGACAGACAGACAGACACAGGCACATAGACAATTATACATACATACATACATACATACATACATACATACATACATACATACATACATACATACATACATACATACATACATACATACATACATACATACATACATACATACATACATACATACATACATACATACAGACAGACAGACAGAGGAATGGACGGATGGATGGATGGATGGATGGGCGCTTGTTCACACTCATCTTCATTTGCCCCATGGATATGTTGGGTTTTTCTTTTTTTTGCTAACCGCGGAGCGCACCGCAAACGGAAGAAGGCACATGGGCATGCACGTGCACCTGGGCGCGTCATTATGAATGGGTGGCCTATGAAGACGACAATGGCCACTAAAGTTTCACTAAAAGATAAATTGTAGGCATGATGTATTTTTTCGCAAAAGCTTGTATTGTTTAGGAAGCGATAAATATTTTTTTTTAATTTGAAGAAAACAGTCCGTTCGAACCAGGTTTATCATAGATGTTTTTCGGGATAGCTTGGCCCGAAGTAAACTAGTCTTTCGCGTTTGTCAATAGCACTCACTTTCATTTCGCGTTTGTCAATAGCAATCACTTTCATTTCTGATTAGCATGTCTTTGTTGGCACCAGGGTCTCATAGCGTGAGACCCCCGGGACGGCTGTATGCTCTCCCATAGAAGAGGGAGTACCTAGTACTCCAAATCGTTACCCTATTTTTTAAAACGAGACCGGGACAGCTTAAGGCTCTCCCATAGTAGAGTGCGTGTAGTGCTCTAAAGAGTTCTCAATTTATTCAAAACATGACCGGCTTGTTGACCGGAACAGCCTGTGGCTTTCCAGAATAAACTCAGTTTAGCATCCCTGTCCTTCCTTCCTCCTCCGCAGTTTGAAAGCTGCGCCGGAGAGGCGGTCGCGACAACTAGAGGCGCTGTAGTCGTTCCCCGCAGCCGTCACATGCTGCAGCGATCGGCCAAGGTCTATTAAAAAATGTCGTGAAATTTTGGGCGAAAAGCAGTTCAGATGCAATTGTGAGCCACATCATCATGGGGGGATATGGGGCTGACATTAAAGCGCGACTATTTGTAGGGAAGAACGACCACTACTAATGAAAAACCAAGTTCAAAGTCGAAGCAATCACTACGTTTTTCTTTCCATCAACAACCTCAGGTGGTCAAAATCGCTCCAGCCCTCAACAGGGGTGCAGTGCAGGATGGCCCAAGCTTCTCGGGCAGCCGAGTTTGCTCCAAGCTCGCTTGCGGTGCCGAAGGATGAAGACAGTGCGGAGTGCGTGATAGCAGGGTTGATCGAAATGGATACAAGAACGCGCTTGGCGTGGGCCGGAATATATATTATGGGAGAAATTGGCTAGAGCGGACAAACGTACGAAAACTGTTATTACTCCGACGTTTCGGCCGGGGTCCGGCCTTCGTCAGGGAATACATTGCAAACGTCAACGTGCTGCTTATATACATTGGGGGCCCTCAACACGTGTCTGTTTAATATCTAAAGTCACATACATGACAGTGGCCTACAAATCAACGTGCGACACAGCACGATGTGATAATGACAGGACTATATCACGAAATGATAATATACGGCGAAGTCTGCGCAGCAAAAAAGGCCGTTTTTCACAGTCTTGCCTAAGTTTACATTGAAGTGGTTATTTACCTAATTGGTTGGTGGGGTGTTTAACTCCAGCACATCATTGGAAAAGCTGTAGCACGGGAAACTTGATTTCATACCGATATTTCACAAAACCCTAAGAGATTCAGGTAATTCGAGATCATATTCATTAAAATTGGAGGCCCCCATCGAAGCACTACCGACTGAGAACGTGCCGGGCGCGCAGGAAATGCGGCCGCCACGAAGCATTAAAAAGAAAAGTGCCGGCACTGCAGCGTGTGGCCGAAAAAAGCGCCAAGTCGCTTGAAATATGCGAATGGACCGCTTATTTTTTGCGCCTATTGTTCCTGGCTTATCGGTGTGCTTCGCACTGGGCCATAGATAACCATAATTTCCTCCCTTGCTTTCATGGAACGTATGGTTGAGACTAGGAGGCAGCCTAAGTGGCGCTTCTTTTCGCAGGCAAGCGGACAGTGCGTCGCACTTATTTAGAGATTAATTAGGAAGAAACAGACGAGCACTTTGTAGCAAAAGCAAAAGTGGTCCACTTGTGTACTTCAGGCGATTTGTCATTTTTCCTGTCCAGATTCTGCTGCGACGTGTCTTTTTTGAAAGATAGTCACGAAAATTACCGGTCTGACGTAACACGACGACCTCATTTCCTGGCCTTCCGGTGCGCTCAGTTTCGCTTAGTTCGGGCCTTCAGTTTTGATGATTGTTACTACAGATAAGGAGTTCTCAAATTTTTGAAAAAGGAGTATGAGAGAAGTTTCGTCATCCTGCAAATTTGTAAATTAAACAACTGCCCTCAAGTTATTAGCTGAGAAATCAATTAACAAGTTTCTTGAATTAGTCTTTCCGACACCACCGCAGGGGCTGCAAAGTATTTGCTCTTCGACGCAGAGTTTCAGTTCGTGGATACGGCAGGTGCCTGACTGTACAGGATCTCTATAAAAAACTTATTTTCAACGCACACACACACACACACACACAAACACACACTCACACACACTCACACACACACACACAAACACACACTCACACACACTCACACACACACACACACACACAAACACACACTCACACACACTCACACACACACACACACACACACAAACACACTACACACACCCAAACACACACACTCTCTCACACACACACACACACAAACACACACACACACACACACTCACACACACACACACACACGCGCGCTGTGCACGCTCTGATCAAGTGGTGTCAAACAAGCGGTCCGCAAACCTTTCTCTTGCGGTGTGCGGCCCGGCCCGTACATGACCGTCCTCATCCCACATTTTTAATTTTTTCAATAAGCAGGTTCAAGGGTCTGCCTAGTTTAGGCACTGTTTTTGCGAGGAGCCTTACGTGTTCATCATGTATTGAAGCTTAACATCGAGACGAAAATTGTATTTCAGAATTGTAGCTTTTGCGATCGGTACCAAAATATTGTTCGAATAATGAACGCGAAATTTTTCTTCTAGGCCCATATAATATATAGGTCAGGAAGCGGTAGCGTTTCCTCACACTTCGAACAAACTATGCATCGCTTTTGTCTTCTTTCCTCTCTAGGCCCACGCGGTTCATGATTGTGGACCCTTGAGTGCGCGAGTTTGAAACCCCTGGTGTATACGAAGAAACACGTCCTAAGCCTACTTCTTTTTAGTTTTCGTTTTTTAAAGGCTTGGCTGACGTTAGATAGGCTAACCTGTATAAGGGAAAGCTAAGCAAGTAGTTAAAGCCCCGAATGGCTTTCAAATGCCTGCAGTTATCTTCGTCTTGTTGTGAGCGGTTCCCGACTTTATTGAAATTGCAGTCAACGTGTTGACTGGTGAATACAAGTTGGAGGCATGTAACGAGCAGTCACTCTGGGCAAGAGAGAAAGGGACACTGTCATGACAGACATGTAGTGCTTTGTGACGGAACTCTGTCACCGCGCCCCCTTTGCGGGGAAAGGGGCGCGCGTACCGGACAAGAGTTTGCGTCATCAGTGAGCAGAGACAGACAAGCGATTGGGCTCTATGACCTTCGATGGCATTTATTTGCCTAGGCTTCCGCTGATACGGCTCTATGTGTGCCGACACCAGGGTCGAAAGAAAACCAGCGAGTCAGCGAGGAAGGAGTCCCTCCCGATCCGTCGTGGTTGCACAGCGCGCGTGTAATAATGGGGACGAGAACAAGGCACCAGTGGAGAGCAATGTCGAATGGTGGTTGTGGATTTGGTGACTGAACGAAAGAGAGAACAAAACAGTGGGAGTTTGGGCAAATGTGCGTCCCGGGCACGCGCTAGGGTGCGGGCGGTTTGCACAGCTCCTGGTATAGCTCGCACTGGAGGAAGCGCAGGTAGGCGTCTCTCTCCAGCAAGCCCTGGACTCGGCGTTGGGCCAGATCTAGGCAAGTCCGGTCGGGCCTCTTCGTCAGGCTCGCCGTCACCTCGGCTCGCGTTAGGGCGTCGAGGTTTACCTGCGCAGAAGAGGGAACGCAAACGACGTGAGGGGCCGGGCATCACGCACACCCGCTGTGGGTATCTCGAAAAAAGAGGCATACGCGCTTTGACGTACCGCAAGGCAGATAGCGCCAGTGTACTTAAAATTTCTTTATATAAGTGTAATGCAACATTCAATAGTAATTACGACTCGTGATAGTCAATTAAAAAAGGTGTGACAAGTATTCACAAGAACGAGTGAAGAAACAAGAATCAGAGAAGAACTGTTCGATGGTTGTCATTGAACAGACCTTCCCTCATGCGAAAGTGAGATTGCAACAAAGTGCCACTATACTTTATGGAGTCTACTTGACTGGCGAGAAAGAAGTTACATGTCCAGGCGCCTGTTTGAGGGCTAACTGACCGCACCACTAAAAAGTATGTCGCTTTGTACAAATTTAGTCAAAACTGAACTGGCACACTTCTTTATTGATGATCAATTTTCTAAGTGTGTGTGTGTGTGTATGTGTGCGTGTGTGTGTACTATGACGTGATTGCAATTGTAAGTGCTCACCTCTTTAGGTGAGTGTGGTGCGATGAACTCGTCAAAGATTCTCTGTGCTTTGACGGAAAGCTTGTTGGGTCGACAGGTCTTCAGCTCTTCACAGGCCAGCCAGAACTCAATGTTCTCCTCACTGTACTCCCGTGCCAGGAACACGTGGAACAGGGCTAGGCCATCTGGGAGGATGCAAGACAGTGCGTGCTCAGAACACATCTTCCGCGTAAAGCTCAATAAGACTCTGCAGTGAATATCGGCGACAGCTAAATATGTGGCTAAATCAAGGATTGTCCAGTAGCCCCTTTGAGTGTCAAATTCTCCTTGGGTTTGATTCAGGAACCGTAACCGCAACAATCGCTCACGTTTAGACGTTGGCACAATCTTAGAGTGGCACGTTACTACTTTTACGTGACAAGACAGCACAACACGTGGCTTCAGGGTAGATAACAAAAGTCTGCCATTTACGAGAGTCGAAACGAAAATTGCTCCATCAGGCATATACCAAACGTTTGAAACTATTGCTTTGAAGCCAGAACTCTGAAGCATTGAACTAAGTAGAAAGAAAGTAACGTTTGCTGGCCTATCTTTCTCACCGCAAGCGAAAAACTATGCAGGCAAAACAGAAAACAAAACTAAGTGTACGTGCGGTGTTAAAGCCATAACTTACATTTTGAAGCAGTAAGGTGTCTGAATGATCTGGCCCACTCTTTCGCTTCTTCTGGGGTTGGTCGCACAGATGGTGCCGGACGCCTTCGCAGAAGGTTTGAAGGAAGGAGCTCAATTCTGGAAAGAAAAAAAACAATATCACACGGCATTCAGTGAGTGCCTGCAAAGCACATCATTCTTTCGCATTTCAGTGCGTTATTTAGTTAGTGTTTCCATGCACGGCGGCGCCCGTTTACAAAACAACAGCGATAGTGAAGCATGGAGTCTGTAGGTTGAGGATTCCTACTTGCCTCTTAGCTTCACTAGTCACCAGGTCAGTCATACAAATTAGTTAAATGAGCAATACGGCTCATTGCTACGACTGTGCATAGCAACGGCGTTGGTTGCAAACAGCTTAAACCCCTGTTTCAACATTATCCACAGCTTGCGGCTAGCGAAAACAGTATGACCTGCCGTCGCTGTTCTTGACTATGCATGCTGTATATTGCACTGACGATTCACACTGCAGAGCACCCCACCAATGTAGAAATACTTACAGGCAGTTTTTTTGAAGCTTCTCCTGCTGGGGTTCACTGGATATGCAGCCGGAGGACATCTTTTTGGAACTCTGCAAAAAGGCAAACAAAAAAGAGTGAAAGCATAGGTTAAATAAGATCCAGAAACCACGAGAAGTCAATTCAATCTCCGATATCATTCTTACTAGACTTACACTTCCAGTGCTCTGTACTTGCACTTTCGCAAAAGTTCCTAGCAGCTTGATCGTCGAGCGGAGTTAGCACTGAGCGCCTCCGGCTCGATCGAGACCCAACTGTGGGCTCGCATAACATTCTGCGTATCGCGCTACCACCGCCAAGAAGAGATGACACAACCAAAAGCAATCGGTAATGATTTCTCAACATTCGGGAAAACGGCAAGTAGGCAGATCACTATGGCCACTTGTTTCTCCGCTTATCAACTCTGTCGTCGCCCAAGCGCACTCTCTCCCGCAACGCCCCAACACGCTATTCTTAACGAGAGGTTGGCGCCATGTTGGATACACACGACACGCGTCGTGCCCCCTACTGAGCGCTTGAGCAACCACATGTTCGAAACATTCACGCCGATCAGCGTCGGCGGTAGGAAGTAGCTCTTGCGCGAGAAGACATCCTCTCCACTCTTTCCTCAGTGAAGCTCCGCCTGGTTGCGAAAGCGCGGAAACTTTAACTCGCTTCCGGAAGACGAGATCGAACGGAAACTGCTTGTCGAGACTGGGAAACCCCCAGCAGGACGTCTCATTGCCAAGACATGGTTGCAATAGCACTACTCGACCGGATGCTAAATAGTATCGAAATTCGGAGCTTCGGTGGTATCACTCTCATTGTCCACGTTTCAGCATGTTAACACTGTATCGTCGTTTCCGCGTGCTGATCACTAACGCGACAAAGTTGGAAAGAAAAAAGACAAGTTGGGTTCGACGTTCCGACATTTTTCATGAGGGATGCGATGTAACCAACGGCAGGGCGCGTTGCATAGTGTCTCTTATCAGGGCGAAGCAAAATCATGACGACCAAAGTAACCAGTGCTGCGAAAATTTCTCATTGTAAAAATTAAAGACTCTGGCTAGTTGAAGTTTTAAGCTCGCGTAAGAGAACAATTTACAAGGTGCAGGTTGGTCCTTTTATGATGGCTCTTCCGAAAAGGCCGTCTCTTCCGTTTTTTTAAATTTGCAGGTGCAGGTACCTTATCAGGCAAATATCCTTTTTCTTATTCAGATTGTTTTCTATCGTCGTTTTTTTCCTTCATCAGTGCCACAGATTAAACATTAGTCGAAGCAGCTACCGTTTGCAACACACGCTATTAGTTGCTGATATTGCACACAGGGGAAGTGCAACCGCGTTCATCGCATGAGAAAGTGCGGGCGCGATCTGTCGCTCAACTTACTGCCTTAATTCTTAGTAAGGGTAGCCCCCACCGTGTCTACTAAACGAAGCACGCCGCTGAAACAGACCTTCAAATATAACACAAACGTGCAGCTTAGCAAATCAATCGCCTTACTAACAAACGCAACACACACCCGCCTAGGTAGAATAAAACCTACTAGGTCTCATGTTTTGGAGCTTGCAGTCTCTCTCCGCACCCCAGTTCGGGGCCCCTATAATACGCAAGGCCATTGCTGATCTAGCGCTGGCGAAACGAAAACTAAACAAAGCGTCGCAAGGGCATTGTTCGAGCCAGGATTCTGAGCTCGGTTCCTCAGAGGAATCAAGACCCCTCAAATGCCCCAGAAAAAGAAACGACGAGGGTATAAAGATACGTCAGTGTAGTGCAAATAGCGAACTCTTGCGTGTTATCACAGTAAATATTCCGCAGTAGCGGGCATGCTCGGCATAGCATTGAATATACATGCAAGTACGCTCGAGCCTGCATAAGCGCGAGTTAGAGTGCGGTTGCAAGGAAGACGTTTTCGATAAACGAACGGCTGATTTTCCAGATTTTATGCGACACCCACGATTTAATCCCCATATCAATGTCATAAGCGAGGGAACCGCGCTGAAACCGAAACGTCCCAATAAAAAAGCGACCAATCTAGCGTGTGCAACTGCTTCAAGTGGAGTGCTTGGAGCAGCTGCATCACAACAAAGCGTCTGTATCCTGGTGTGTCACCAAGACAACCTGGGACAAGTTGCACGAATACGGACGTTCTCGCGAAGGAGTGCCGGAGCACGCCGTCCCCGCGGGCCAACTGAAAACATAGCGCGCCGCATGGAGCGAGCCGGTTCGCCGACGGCTCACCTGTCGCTGGTTAGGCACTGCTGAGTCCGAAGTTACCTCAGGCATGTCTCGCATCAGCTGAGTGCTCTGAGCCCGAGGACTTGGCCCTTTAAAGGGCCCCATATGCGTCACCGATCGATAATCTCTGGTCTGCGTGACGTCAGAGCCGTTCGGCCAACCAGGAAGCGGCCAGCGGGCGGCGCGAGCCTTCCCCCAAAACTCTCTCCATAGTAGTGAAAAGTAGCTCAGTAAGGACAGGAAAAAGGCTGGACGCGTCTTCCGTAATAAAGCACGCTCATAGGAGCAGATCTTGGGGGCGGGATCAAGAATGGAATGCAAACGCGATCAGAAGAATTCACTTCAATTCGCTCCTGCAACATTAGCAGAGAAGAAAGAGTCATCTGCGCCACGCCGGGGTTGGAATTTCCGACTTCCTGTCTTGCTGCTTCTTGTAACTGTATCGTGGGGTTAAAAACGATACCGAGTCGAAGTTCCTTTCCTTTCCTTTAGGGCCATGCGCACTATGTGCACTAGCAGCTCCGCAAGAAGGAGCCGACCAGTATATGCACCATGAGGGAGGGTGCTGAAATTAATTTCTAATCTTTCCAATATGTTAACTTTTACCGCAAGATAACTTTATGATGTGTCAGTTATGAACAATATGCCGTCCACCGTGACCAGCGTAGAAAGAGCAATACTCTACCGAAAATTCCCGACCACTAGGTTTATGCACCTCCGTCACATTTTCAATGCTCACTTCGGTTTGTAGTTTGCCTTTTTTATTTCTGATCGACGTCGTGGTGGAGTATACTGCACGTCCAGCGGTACGCTTTCAAGTGAAGCTCGTGTCACAGCTATCGATTGATATTCGGTGTTCATTTTTGACAATATGACCAATAAAGCGTTAACCGTAAAGACAACAACCTGTTGCCGTCCGTCGTGACGTGCGATGTCCGTCTTAGCCGCATTGCAGACGACGTTGGCGCTGCTAGTGTGCGCAAGGGCCACGAGGTGGCGCTGAAGTGAATATTCGTGAGACTGGCGCGCGGGTTTGTGAGAGGTGTAGTTTCTCCACTAGGCGTGCACTAGGCCTGACGGTACGCGCTTCCCCCTTTTCGCTCCGGGGAGCCCGTTTTCCCGCCGTGACCCCGGGCCGCATCGTGTGTGGACGGCCTCAATGAACGCGAGCTGTGGAAGCGAAGGGAGGCGAGGGAATGGTGGGGATGAGGAAGGCCGGAGGAAGGGCTGCACCTCCTCTCCCCCGTGTTCTCCATCTCTTACGCCATCTCTGTGGGTACGTGAGCTTTGGAGCGCTCCACTCTTTGTAGTTTTGCAGCCACCCTCCGGTAGTGCTGCCCCCTCGAAAAAATGAGGTCATGAGTGCGCGCGCGCCAGCGATCGCGATTAGCCGTGTAGAATGCCTGCTCCGCATCGCGTGTGATGGTCTTCTCTGCTTGTCGGTGCAGGGCTTATTTCCGCGGAAGCATCCGTTCGGCAAGGGCGTCGCAAAAGCGCTAGGAATTTCTTATTAGACGTCACCGGGACGCGACGCCCGGTCGTTAAACTGACACCGACCGATGCCCTCTCAACCCCAACTCCCTTTTCCTCCTCTAATGCTGCAAGATGTGGCGTAACTTTCGCCCGCTTTAAAGCGTCCGCCGATCAGCCGCACGCGCTGAGAAGTTCGCTCTTCTTCCGGGAAAGGGTCCGTTTCGGCATGCCTAAATGAAACACTGCTGTGCGCTAAAATGTAAAGAACGGGGCGACCGAGCGTTCACTGGACTTTAGCCATCTTGCCGGCTATGTGCGCGTGCACCCTTTCATTTTGCGCGAAGGGGTGGTCACCCGATTGAGAAATGTTTTCCTTTTATTTGGGCCTTAGCGGTGCCCATTTCGCTGTGATGAAAACCTCTAGCTTCTATAACGACAGTGGAGTGCTTGCACACACATTTGAGTGAATCAGAAAGAGCTTCTACTTGTTTTTTTTTTCGCATCTAGATTTGAGCTCCGGCTTCTTTTTCAGCATTTTTCTCTCCACTCTTCTGATTGGAGCACTTAATTAATTCTATACTGATAGGTGAGTTGTTTCGTTAAATTTCTTTATGCATCATAGAAATACTGGATTTCCAATTATTGCAACGAGCCTCATTTCTTCTGCGTAATTTGGTGAATCAGCTAGGAAAGGCGATATTTCTTATAGGCTTTAAGCGAAATTGTCTCCATCTAGATATGTGGCGTTTAACGTCCCAAAACTACCATATGATTATGAGAGACGCTGTAGTAGAGGGCTTCGGAAATTTCGACCACCTGGGGTTCTTTAACGGGCACCCAAATCTGAGTACATGGACCTACAACATTTCCGCCTCCATCGGAAATGCAGCCGCCGCAGCCGGGATTCGATCGCGTGACCTGCGGGTCAGCAGCCGAGTACCTTAGCCACTACACCACCGCGGCGGGTCAGTAGGCCTTTCGATTATGATTGACCTGCGCGTTTGCCTGTGTTTCACTTTCGTCATTAGACACTTCAGAGTGCCTTTAGCCACTAGTACATAATAAAGATATGTATCAATGCATTGTACACTCGCATACAAGAGAACTTCTGTGGATGAGCGAAATACCTTGTCACGTAAGCGCGTGTGTGCACGTGCATGTGGGTGTGCGTTAAGATGTTAGCAAAAAGCGCGAAGTTCAATAAAAATATTATTCTCTGACTTGAGTGTATCTTAGCGCGCGTACAGAGAGTTACACTGTAATATGCTTGAACGTGGCCTATCTGACATTGGAACATTGTCTCGCTTTCACCATTAAACCCCAATCTATGCCTAGTGAAAATTATCATAGTGATCAACTCCGGTGAGATCTGTTCCGGAGGGTACACATATGACCTCCAGTGCAGCATTTATCCAGTCGCCGAGTCAACTTGCAATGCTCGTGGCCTAGATTCCTACACATCTCACAGAGTGTCAAAGCCTTGACGAACGCCACGACATGTTTTTCTGTGTTCAGACATTATTCACTGTAAAAGCGCCCAGGGGTGATACTGTGAGAGTAGCACTGCTTAGTGTCTAAATCATGTCAGAGCGAAGCGACGAAAAAAAAAGTGGGTAAGTGGAGGGGGGCTCCAAGAAGGTAGTTTGAACCTCTCCCCCCCCCCCCCCCCCCCCTTGGCTACGCCACTGCTTGCTGCACGCTGAAGCAAGACACTTTTTGCAACGTTTTCACTGGCAGCTGTTTAACAAGTGAAGGTGACACGTACGTTTCACGCAGATGTATGTAAGGCTGAGGCACAACAGGAAAGAGAATTGATTGAGGCGTACCACATTTGAAAACTTGGTTC